GATCTAAGGAAGAAATTCTTTCCAGTGAGGGTGGTGAAACCCTGGCAGGGGTTGCCCAGAGAGGGGGGGGAGGCCCCATCCCTGGGACCATTCCAGGCCAGGTTGGCCGGGGCTGTGAGCAACCTGATGTGGTTCAAGGTGTCCCTGCTCCTGTGGGGGGGTTGGGCTGGGTGACCTCTGGGGGTCCCTTCCAACCCAAAACACTCCGTGATTCTATGACTCTGTAGTCCGAGCCCTCTTCCCTCCGTAAAGCAGCAAGCGGGTGAGGAGAAGGGCCAGTCACCTTTTTTGGTCCTTGCCTTTCTTGCACATCTGTCCAACCGTCTGCGGCCGCCCTTCCACGCTGCCGTTCTCACGGGAACATCTCCTTTCCAGCCCAAAGGAGCTGATCGGAAGCAGAAGACGGACAGGGAAAAGATGGAGAAGCGAACGCCTCATGAGAAAGAGAAATACCAGCCCTCCTACGAAACTACGATACTCACAGAGGTGGGGTGTGCTGGCGCGCAGCGGCTGGCGGCGTTATTTTAACGAAACCCGGCTTCCCTTGCTCGTAGGCGGCAAGGAACTGGCCCTTGTGCTGTGAAACTTTTGGCCAAGTCATTAATAGCTGCAGGACAGCAGCAAGATCCATCCTGCGGGCAGAGGAAGACCTGGAAAAGGGTTTTTGTGCCTGGAATCGCGCTGGGGTTTTTCCCCCCCGCTGTAATAGATCATTTAATACAAGATTTTTACCTCTCCCTGCAAGTTTTGTGTTGCCCAGGTGGCAACTGGCCACCGAGCCGGCAGAAAACCCTGTTAGTGGAAAAGGTCAGTCTGTTAAAATGCGATAGTCTGAGGGGGGGTGGGTGCTGAACAGCCCTGGGGAGGGAGCCCTCGTCCTGCCCCAGGGGAATTCGGGGACGCTCGCCAGTCCCCAGCTCAGGCTCGATCCGTGGCAGCGGCGTCTCCCGCCCGGAGGTGCCCAGGCTGGCGGGCGCCGCGTGCCAGCCCCGTGCCGGAGCGGTGGTTTAGATCCCAGATCTCACTGCGTTTAAATGTTGGGACTTTTGGCCTTTTGAGATTAAGAATCCTTAAACCTGAGCTTTGCCACCATCAGCAGCAAATTGCCGTTGTCTTCTTTTAATCCCCGACCTTGTTCTTTAATTCTTTAATTAACGAACCGTGTCGTAGGCGGTGGTGGGTCGGCAAACGGCTGGTAACCTGTGCTGACCAGAGCAGACGCGCACGCTTGTTCAGAGCCACCCCGTGACTTTTCTGGCTTCTCTTTTCCAGTGCTCTCCCTGGCCAGAGATAACGTACGTCAATAACGCGCCGTCCCCCGGCTTCAACAGCTCCCACAGCAGTTTTTCCATCGGCGAAGGGTGAGTCCGGAGAAAAACCTGGCTGGCCGTCGATCTCTGCCTCGCGCGAGAGGTCGATGTGTCTGAGCTGGCAGGGATCGCCAGCGAAAGGAAGGGTCCGAGGTGCACGGGGTGGGGTGGGGTGGGGGTGGA